ACACAAGTACTGAAGGATCAATGTCGTGGAATTTTATACTACTGTGATCATGTATATTATGAATTAATAATAAAACTTTTAACATGTTTTGGTTGGATTAGCTATTTTCAATGTGAAGTTTTCTTTTTTAATGATATGACATGACCACTAGCACTATTGGTTAAATACATGATTTTATTTATTTGCAGACACGTTTAAATGGAGAAGCCATTTGTGGAAATTAATGGCCAAATATTACCAACTTTGAAGGTTGAACCATACATCAAGTTTTATTCAGCATTTATAACTACATGAATTTTTCAACACAATATTACTGAAATTTCACTTGTCAAATCCTATGCTGCATACTGTATTTTAGCTAGAGGAATCAAATAGTATTTTCGTCTTAAAATGACAATTAAACTAAGCTAAATACTCCTATTAATTAAGAAGCGGTCCAAAAGGACTAATATTTTACCTGCAATAGCTGAGCCGTTTCAAGTCTTTCGATGAAACATTGCAGGAACATTAATAATAGGATCGGAGTTAGATGTATACATATTTATTTGGGTACGATGGAAGAAAATTAATGCAAATATCGCTCATAAGAAATACGACTTAAGTCCACTATTTGTTCATAACTGCTTTACTCCAAACTATCAAACTATCAAATCATCTTCATGTTTGTGTTCTTTTTTTGCTAGAAAATAGGTAGATTGATTGACCTTCATCCTAACATGTCTAATAGGCCGTCAAAACGGATAATATTGTACCTTCACTTCATTGATTAAACAATTTGTATTAGATGAAATAAAATATGTATCTATTATAATCACATCCCATATCTTTAATTTGATGATGTTATTAATTTTGAACAATTGTATAACACAAACTTTTTCTTGCAAATTTTGTGTAGTAGTTATTATGAGATAGATACCTAGAGTCATCATAATAATAAATGAAATGGTGACATGAGAGACAATCCACAAATTGTACAACAAAAATATGGTTTACAAAGTTTTTGTGTAAACATGAGTGATTACTGATAAGTCAATTAAGCACCGAAAGATTAGAGACAAATACTGCTGCAAAATTAACAAGTCACATGATCCACCACTCATCCGTCGCCTCCTACAAACAAAAGTCCAACCAATTTGTGGTGAAACGGTAGAATTGCTCCACTCTTAATCAGAGATCTCGGATTTGAGCATTGGATACAGAGAAAATTTTGTTGGAAGCCTCATCCCAAATGGCCCTGCGGTATGCAATTTAAATTTAATCGGAGCTTCAATGCAGACTCCGAACACCGGAGGAAAAAAAGGGTCACAAATCAACATATCATGAGCAGTACTGACCAATTCAAGAAAATTAAAACGAGCAGCAAACATCTCATTCACTATACTTATTAGCCGTTTCTAAGAAATTATTTTTGAATAAGTATTTGTTTATCAAATAAGATTAGTATTTCCAATTTTAAACTTGAAAAATAATATTTAAAAGCTTATAATAGCGGTTTAATTACTTATAAAATTAACTTTATAGCTAGTAAGCTATGCACAAGCATTGTTGCAGAATGCAGACCACATGGTCATGGAGAAAAACACTTCACATTTCGATCTACGAGTATCGGAAAATTTATTTCACCATCACCTATTGCATTCAAGTTTTTTGTCATTTTGCTATACAAGTAGTATAATTTCAAGGTTGTCAAAATCTCGAGTAAAAGAAAGCTATTGATTTATACTATATATGTTACGTGAGCATGTGATACAAGGATGAAAAAAAAGGGCAGATGAATTAAAGGTTATTATTGGGACAGGCATATCTACACTTCAAAAAAAAATTTAGAACAATTTTAACGGCATGTCTAATAACTGAATTTTATAACCATGAGGGATAGATAATCATAATATAATTTTGATAAATTTTTAATACTAATTTAGCTAATACCAGATAGATTTAATTTCCCAAATTTTATTCTAAGGTAAGACTCTATCATTTCATCAATGAATTCCTTTCCTCCATTGAGTCCCAAAGATTTCTCTAGGATCGAAGGGGTGAAGCTTAGAGCCTATACTTTGGCTACAACCTATTGGCCCTCTGGGGACCATCCGAGTCATCATGTCCATAAAGGCGGTAGGGGCATTAGTCAACTCAAAAGACGGGGTAAGAGTCTATTCTTTGTAACCAAACAGCCCCTTATGGAATAATAATACTGGTAAATTTTTGTGTGATATTGATCACTTGCTTGTACCAGTCATATTTTTATTCTTTTTGTTGTATGCTTAGTCTATTCTTATGGAATCACACTAGAGTAGTGGCCCTGGCTTACTCTATAACGAGCTGTGTTTAGAGTAGGCTAATGCATCATTTGTATTTAATCTGGTGGCTAGCTTACATGATTAAGTGTTCATTGCAAATAGAATTGTCAATCATCAAAGACCTGAGTACTGATGAAAGATTTTTTTTGATTTTTTTGTAAATAGTTAGTACTAGACAAAATAATTCAAATTAAAATATTAATCTCTTGTATACTCTTTACATGATGTGAGATTGTCCATTACTGAATACATATTTCCTACCATCTATGACACCATTTTTAATTAAGAATATATTTGCACAACTGACCCTTCAGTGGTGCAATTTGAATTTGCACCCATTTCCTCTAAAAATGAGGCAAAAAAAGGAAAAAAAGAAGAAGAAGAAAAAAATCATGCTAGCCACACGTTATATCATTTAATGCTTCACTCTTTTTCTTCTGCCTGTTGGTACATCCATACATCTCACATGACCTCTTAAAAAATGTGTAAATGACGAATTAACACCATACATTTGAAATGTATTAATTTAGCACACATATAATATGTTAGGGATCAAATTACATGTTAATTATAAATTGAGTTTGAAAATGCAATTTACTCCATTTATTAGGTCTCACCTCGATTGAGGCTTGTTTAATTTGTCTCTTTATATAGTCTTGTCATAATTTTTTGAAATGAAATTAAACCCAAAGGTCCATTCCCTTTTATCACATTTTTCCATGAGGGTCCAACCATTAAAAAGAAGGAAGAAAATAAGATAAAAAAGGTGACTTTGAACAAGTCAAAGATGTAGTGAAGTAAGAGAGGAGAGTCGGTGGTGATGGGGGAGTTGGTTTTGTGGTTTGTAGGTGATAGGTGGCATGGGGTAATAAATACAACGACGCCTTGAGGCCTCCTATTTTTTACTCAACCACTTGAGTGATGCATCAAGCAAAAATTAAAGTTCAAATTCTTCTAAATTTCCACAATTTATATTTTACCTCATATAATACTCGCAATTTATGCATCACGTACTTTACTATAGGTTGACTTCCCCGCATTTAGCTTGTGTATGGGTTTATATATTGATCATATTTTTTACACCCCTTAGTAAAATTATGATTCCTCCATACACTCGCACTTACTCTATTATTAATTTTGTTATTGACAATGAAAAAGTAAATAATATATATTTGATCGTGCATGCTTCAACTATTTATTAATAAGTAAAATAGATTGAAGAAAAAACTAGAGGATAGAAATATTTGTTGTTACACTACAAGCATCAGAATCAGTTGATATAGTGAAGAGAACACTCCCATCTCCACTAAAGCGAAATGAAGGGACTAGCAGAAACACCTAAACATTGGTTGGGAAAAAGAAAAAAAAAAAGAGAATAAAACAACTAGCTTGTTCATTCTTTTCCAAAAACTTTAATCTAATTCTAGCATTTAAGTTATTTAAAATCTTATATGCTTCCTTCTTTAGCTCATGAACAAAGTCACTTATCTTTTTTTATATTTAAAAAGTTATTTAACTTTCCAATTAGTTTTTTAATAAAAAGGCGCTTGACTTTTCACGCCAAAAAATAAAATATTTCAAACCCAAATCATTTAAATTTGTTTATATGGTTGACAAATGGTTGAAAAAAAATAATTCTTCTAACAGCAAATTAATTGACTTGGACTTTGTAATGAGTAATAACTAATGACCGGCGCTTTAGTGGAAGACTTGGCCTGAAATTGGAGCAAAGTGCCCGACACAACCTAAGTAAACGGATTCTTTTCCATCAGTAACACACTAAGGAAGTAAACGAATCTAATAATGAAATGAGTTTAATAATTTCTTTTTGTTCTAAAAACTCAAGTGGTTACACCATTAAAAAAAGTAGACACGTATATTATTTTCCGGCATGAAACGATTTCTTGAGTCAAAGTTAAATGACTCATTCCTAAAATCTTCTATTACTTTTACTTTTTTGGTGACTCGAACCCACAACTACTCTTGTTGATTAATTACCATTAGTTTGAATGATTTTTTTAAGTAATCAACACTCATGATAAATTGTGTATAAGATTATTTAGTGCTTGCCGTTAGATAAAATGTAAGTAGTTTGATAGGTAAACGAAACTCATAAGTCACTTCAATGATCATAACAAAGAGAATAAAATTATGTAGAAGCAATTTATTTCATACTATTCCAATTTCTAACAAAACAGATATTCCAACAACACATAATTAGAGGACTCTTATATTTGGTGGTCAAGTTGTTGCATTTAACTATAAATAGGAAGGCAAATACACAAGTATAGAGTAAAACAAGGTTTGAAGAAAATATTAAAAGTTTATCAAGAGGTTCAACCACCAACAAACTTTTTTCTTTTCCCTTATTTTCAGAGACTTCCGGCAATGTTTTTAATGATCTGTTACCAGTAATTGCGTACCCTCTTTATTTATCTATCTTCTTCTCCTCTCCCACCAATTTTTTCTACAAATACACGTTTTCCCAAAATAATCCCCAAATCAAGAAATTTGTATGAAAACACACCAACAAACCTAAAAGATTATAGTGGCATTGGCACTTTGAGCTTTTTCAAGTTAATGGGTGCCTTGCCATTCTGAAAAAACACTAGCTACTTTTTTATTTTATTTTTTTGCCAAAAGTCCTCTGTTTTTTCATTGTGGTGATCAAACTTAAGGGAAAAAAAAGAAGAAGCAATGATGGCGGCGATTAAAGAAAATGCAAGATCAAGCCTCATAGTAGCAGGCAGAGTAATGAACGAAGCCATTAGCTTCTTAGTTTTCATTATCCTCGACATTCTTGATTTTATCCTCTGTTATACTTACAAAGTAATCGATTTCATAATCGAAGCAGAGTGGAAACCCTGTTATTGCTCTTCCATTAAAGAAGTCATAACAAGCAGCGGCTCAATCTTGGTCTCCGAACGAGGAGAGTCCAAGATAGTGTGTCTGACTTCTTCGAGCAAACTACGTCTCGAAGAAATTTCAGACACACTTTACACTCGGCCATCATTGATGGCGGAGGTGTCAAAATTGACAGTGAATGAGCTGAAACGCCGGAAATTTGACAATGCGGGTGTGATACAACAGTCATGTGAGAGGTTGAAAAATGGAAGTGTCCGTTCAACTTTTACTGTTAATTCCACCATAGTGGAAATGCTCCAAGGCAAAATGGGTGGCCAGAAACCTCATGATGTTACTCCTAGGTGGTCGGATTGTGATTGCAACACTTGTAATTCTTGGTCCTCTTCTTGCAAAGATTCACTTTTTGTCCGAGTTGATGGTGCCAAAGGTATGTTTAGTAAGTTAAAGACTTCTTTTTATTTTTCTTTTTACACGTTTTTAATTAACACATGATCCGTTTGTTTGACATATATCAGCAAACTTTGAAGAAGATGTAATCTTCATTCATGGGTTCATTTCATCATCAGCATTTTGGACAGAGACATTATTTCCAAACTTTTCAAAGGCAGCAAAATCAAAGTATCGTTTATTTGCAGTGGATCTGTTAGGATTTGGAAGGAGTCCAAAGCCAAGTGATTCACTTTACACAATAAGAGAACATCTAGAGATGATTGAGAAATCAGTTTTGGAGGCACACAAAGTGAAATCTTTCCACATTGTGGCACATTCTTTAGGTTGTATTTTGGCTCTAGCACTAGCTGTAAAATATCCTGGATCAGTCAAATCCCTCACTTTAATTGCACCGGTAAGGAGCTAATAACAGTTTTGAACATGAACATGAACATGAAAAGCCATATTCATATTATTTTATTTGATGATGACATTTATTTATTTATTTATTATGACAGCCATATTTTCCAACACCAAAGGGTGAACAAGCGACGCAACATATGATGAGAAGAATAGCACCAAGGCGGGTGTGGCCACCAATAGCGTTTGGGGCGTCCATAGCATGTTGGTATGAACACATAAGCAGAAGTGTTTGCCTAGTCATATGCAAGAACCATCGTTTGTGGGACTTTCTCACCAAACTTGTTACCAGAAACAGGTCCGTCTAATTTTCAAAACATTTTCCTACCCACATTTACTTCTTCGGGGTCAAAATTGCCTATGATCATGAAATACAATAAGTTTTTCACGTTTAACTTAGAATAGATAAGATATCTGCGGTCTTAAAAAAATGTGGGCACGCTAGTTCGGATTTACCGGGGTCAATCCAGACGTACACCAGAATGGAAAGGGAGAACAAATTAAGAGTAATTTGTATGTTTCTTTTATGTTAAGAGTAAATCGATCGAGTACTAACATGTATTTGTGAGTACCCTTGATTGTGGCATCTGTGTGAGAGTTTGTACTCCCTCCGTTTCATTGATTAGACACTCCTCTTAATAAAGTTTACTAAACTAACAATATTCTTTAAAAAATTTAATTTGATTAATAATACTTCATGTAGTCATTTATTGATAAAAGTAGTGTGGAAAGAAAATGATAAATTTCTTTAGATTTGCCAAAACAAATGTTTTTTTTAAAAATAAATCAAATAATATAAAATGGAAGGAATATTTATTGTCTCAGGACTAGTTGATGTGAACTTACGATACTTGTACGTGGCTACTATTTGCCTAAAATCCCCATGTTGAGCTAAGGAATCATTTAGGCCAACAAATAGATATTTACTCCTCCTAATGAAATTACACAATTAAAGTTGTTTGTCATAGTCCCTTGACTTTACATCCTTCACAAATTTGCATGGTCCACCTCATTTCTTTCTTTTCCTTTTATTCTTTGTTAGGTAGAATTGAAGGATGAGTTTCTCAATCCACCTCATTTAATTTAGGCACCAAGTAGTTTTGTGTTCTCTTCTTTTTAGGTTTTACAGTTGAGTTATGCAAAGACTTATCACCTATGCATCTACCCAAGAAAAATCAAATCAAATCCATATATAGTTAATGGAGAAAATGTGGCATGCATTAAATTAACCAAATAGGCAAGTGGAGGATTAAAGGGGATTCAATTCTAACAGAGAGAAGTAGTAAAGGTGCCTTAAATATTTGCTCTTCATCAACTTTGCTGTAATAAATGTTTGTGTATAGAGAGATGCTAATAAATGGGATTGATTTTCTTTAACTCAAACACCAACCCACCAACTGCATCTACTGCTCCAACCTTTTTCTGCTTCTCCTCAACTTTTTGCTTATCATTTTTTTGCTTGGCTTAGAAGCATTTGTTGTTTCTCCCAATTATAACTCATCAAGCCTTATATTCCACATGACTCATGACTTAACACAGTTGACTATCGAAGGAGATCTCAGTTGACTATTCCACTCCACCCACCAAACTATCGACCAAATAAGGACTGGAAACTAAAGAATATGTAAATAAAGTTAGCTGTATTCTTAGAAGAAGGATACGTATACATTGAATAGTCAAATATTGTTGAGAAATTAGTAGACGACAGACTTTGTATCGTCTAATATAATATTCCAAAACAAGAATTCATGAATTTAATTTATTTTATTTTTTCTTGTTTAGCAAATATAATGAATATATATTTGATGAATACAGGATTAAGACATACTTAATAGAGGGATTTTGCTGCCATACACACAACGCAGCGTGGCATACACTACACAACATCATATGTGGTACTGCTGGAAAAATAGAAGGATACTTAGACATGGTGAGAAACAAGCTAAAATGTGAAGTCACGGTGTTCCACGGTGAAGATGACGAACTTATTCCGGTCGAATGCAGCTATAATGTACAGTCAAGAATTCCTCGTGCACACGTTAAGGTTGTCCAGAAAGAAGATCACATCACCATTGTTGTTCGAAGACAGAAATCATTCGCAAGGGAACTTGAGCAAATTTGGAATAATTCAACTTAATTAATTATGTGAATTCCCCACCATCATTTTTATAAGTAAATTAAAACAAAGAAAGTATTTTTATCGTATAAACCTAAATTAAATTTGGACAAAATCATGAAGGTCTGGTTGAGCTAGCTAGTTTTTTTCTCTCTTCATTTTCTGATTTGTATGTCGATCATGCAAGCTGAATGTAATGTATCAGATATACGTCTAGTTTGAATATTATTCAAGAAAAAGTAATATGGGATATGAAAATGTTTTCTCATCATCTTTTCTATAATCAAACATCATTAAAGGTGCAATGAATATATATATATATGGTCGAAAGCTTTATATTTACTTATTCTTTCCTGTTTATTTATTGTTCAAGCACGTACTCTTCAGCACAAGGATTTAAATTATATTAGGTAACAAAGTAATGAGCTCTTTTTTTTTTTTTTAGTATAACTTACATAAATCACATACTGTAAAGAGTAAATTACATCCTATCCCTACTTTTTTTCTAATTACAATAATCCCTTAAAATTTATACCTTTAGGGTACATAAGTTCCCATCCGGATACATTAATTCACCATCCGGATACATTAATTTTAATACAAAAAAAACTTTTTGTTGCACTAAAAAGGGAATAAAATCTGAAAATTAATTAAATTCCATAAATTACGCTTATGCTTATTCTTACTCTCAATCATACATAGGAAAATCCTAATAGAATGAAGAAATTCAAATTTTCAAATTGCTCTCCCCGTTCAACAAAGAAACCTTTCAGATTTCATTAAAAAACTTTTGTCGAAATTTTGGGTAAGCGAGGTGAGTTATGAAGTATACAAAAGTGATGGAATTGTTGTTGGACAAACGATATCCTTTTGAATCTTCAAATTCATCGAAGATCCTTTCAATTTTGATTCAAGATTACCAAAAAAATTGAGATTCAAGATTCTTTCTTCTTCTAGTTCAGCGAAGATCCTTTCAATTTTGATTCAAAATTGTTGAAAAAATTGAGATACAAAATTCTTCTCCTAGTTTATTGAAGATCCTTTCAATTTTGATTCAAAATTGTCGAAAAAATTGAGAAGATACATCATGAATATCTTTGCTACTTAGCATTTTATATACTATTTATGTATCTTGTTTAAATTGATAAGTATTGTATTTATACTAGATACATTAAATAAATAATTGTTGTCATAAGATGTTAGATTTGAGATCGATACATTACTGTGTGGTAGTTTCTATGTAATTGATACATTTAGTATAAATTCGAATTTACGTATCCTATCTAAAAAATTAGTGCATGATACATTACTATTTATGTATCTCGATTAATTTGATAAATATTGTATTTATACTAGATACATTAAATAAGTAATTGTTGCCTATAAGATGATAGATTTGAGATCGATACATTAATGTGTGCTGGTTGCTATGTAATTGATACATTTAGTATAAATTAGAATTTACGTATATATCATATCTAAAAAAATTAGTGCATGATACAATATTACTATTATGTATCTCGTTTAAATTGATAAGTATTGTATTGTTTGCCTTGAAAGATATGTATAACTTACATAATGTATCATTTTGTAGTTGATAATAATGTATTTGATACAATAAGGTTGTGAAAGAAGGATGTATGTAAGCTGAAATAAAGTGTATCTATAAATGTATCACAATAAATAAGAATTAAGTTATCAATTAGATGCATGAACAAACACGGATTTGGCTCCCCTCCATTACACTTTCCATCCATTTTGTCAAGTACACTTCTAAATGAGAGACATGTGTCTTATTCAATTTTTAAAGGTCAAGATTATATTATATTAGAAGTATTATAACCATAGTTAAGTTAACAAATTTTGGTAAACTATTCTCCAAATTTGATAAGAACAAGATATTCCACATAAATTTTAATGTTCATTAATATCATTATTTTCATCTTATATTTTTTTAAAAACATATTAAACTATGCTATCTTTAAGATGAGAATCCACCAAAAAAAATTGTGGCAATAAATTTTATACTTGAAATATTATGTTGAGAAACCAAAAAGAAGGTAAAAAATTATCAATTTTGACAAAAATTATAAAATAAAAGAAAGGGAAATAAAAATAATAATAACAAAAATAAAGACGATATGTTATCAAGATTACAAATGTGAAATATCAAAATTCTAAAGTTTAGGAGAAAGTGTGGTTGTTGTGTTTGAAGAAGGAAAATAATGAAATATATATATTATTATTTTTTTAATTATTTTTTTAAAAAAATATTATTTTATCTTCTTCGTTTTTTTTTTTGTTTTGTGAATTTTGAAAACATATTTAAAGCCAAAATATTTTCGAAGACTGTTATTTATTAGGATAAATAAAAATAGAGATTTGTGGAGTGAAATAAGGAAGGGATAAATATTGATTTTGGGAGTTAGAATTTATGTATCAGGGTTTGGGGGTTTGGGAGTAAAATAAGGGATTTTAGAAAAATTTAGAATTGGTAGGGAATAATAGAAATTATGGGACAAAAAGGTGTGTATATAGGTAATTTATCCGTTTTGGTAACCATATAAGATTGCTTATCATTATTATATATATACACAATTATATATCTTAAAAGTAATTTAACTATTTAAATGTTTTATTTTACGGAACTGCACATAGAATTTAAACTGATCATTAGGTTGTATATAATAAACGAGTGAATTCGATTTATATAAATTAAACTAAATAGATTAACACTTCATTTCAAATTAAGACTAACTAATCTCTAACTTTAGAGATATGGTTATTGGAAAACATGAACTAGTAATGTTTGAACAGTAAGCATTGCATGATTGTTAAGAAAATTGAATGCTGCCAACCATAAATAACAGCGGAGACAATACAAGTGTCAGTTATTAGAGTCCACCTGTCACCTAATAAACAACGTAAATGATTTTAAATTAGTGGACCAAAATGTTACTAATAAATAGTGTAGGGAACTCATCAGATGACTAAGAGATGCTGCTCATTGACAGACCACCAAATATCATACAATCCAACTAATTAATACTACTTCCTTCCTTTCATTTTAATTGACTTCTATAATAAAATTTATTATTTATTTAATTTAATATATCAAGAAAAAATTATTATTGTTATTATTATTTTTAGAATGTTTTCTTTAGAGTTGTATAAAATAATATGAAATCGAAGGTGAATGGGTGCATTTATATAAGATAATAATATTGGAATTGATTGAAAGCTAATACTACTAAATAGTGAAGGTGAGACTTTGTTGGCAGAGTACAGGAAGCAAATTAATGTTGCAGACTTGTCCTCTATAGTTTACGTACAAATGGAAAAAATATAATGGAGGAATTGGTCTCTTTCTACTCATTATGAGTTTCCTTTTAAGATGAAAAAATAAATAATGTGTGTCCCTTATGTGGTGTTCATGTAGGTTCAAACAGAGTTCAAATAACATAACTTGCGTACTTTAAACCTCTTTTTTAGGTACTGACATCAGATTTTATTCATTGTCAAGTTAAGATGCCATGCAATATATATGTACATTTTATAAAAATCTGAATTAAAATAATTCAACAATTTACGTATATATCACATGAGTAGTAGTACCAATTAGCTATTAGTTGAAACAAGGAGAATTCGTTACTTAAAGACACTCAATAGGAGAAAGTGTATTTGAATAGAGAGTTGTTAGACATACAAAGATCACAATTGAGTAGTTTAAGTTTCCAATTTAAGTAAGGCAGCAAATTAGAAAAATAAAGTACTCCATTAATTTACTCTGATTCCCCATTATTTTTTTTGGCAGGACTCAAGGGTATACTACATTTTAAGTTGGTAATAGAAAAAATCTCAGAACAAACTAGGACATTAGTGGAGTTGAAGAGAAAAATAATAGTAATTGATCTATATAGAAGCTTCTTTACATGATTATTAACTATATATGTGGTTGAACGGCTTGGAAATTATAGTATTAGTGCATGTATTAATTTAATTTCTTGTAAAACTACAACATGTAAGGTTGTTAGCTAACCAGCGGAAACAATGAGGCACGCAATCTTCTTAATTTCCCTAATTAACAATTTGTTTTGTTTTTCTTTGACTATCCACATGGAAATATTTGACTTATGATCAGTTCATAGTTGAGTAATCTTTTAAAAATATTATATAGAAAAATCATGTCTATTCAAACCAATAACTATACTAGATATTTACACTGTCAAGAAGCAGGACCATTGGTAGGTTGATGTTGATTAGGATTTATGGCAACTCGATCGTTTCAGGTTGTTATATTACATTCAGACTGACGATGTCTCATTTTCCATTATACTGAATGTTCAAGTTTTCACTTCTACTTATACTTTAGGAGCAAATGTTCAAGTTACTGTTCACTCTTTTCTTTTTTCCTGAATTAATAAATACATAAAATAACTAAATCAAAGGAGAAAAAACTTTTTATTTTTTAACTAAATAAAAATAGTTTTCAATCAAGTAGGAATTAATAGCGGAGAAAAATAAGAGTACAAATCAAATCTTGGGTCCGAAGAAATATAGGAATGGGTGCATATTGGGCTTTTCCTCCTAAACCCAAGAAATAAGCCTGGAAATTGGAACACAATACTTTGCCCTTGTCTACTTTTCTTTTTGGGCTAAACATCAACGACTACTATATATACAGTGTCGGCTACAAGTTTGCCTATATTCAAAAATGGGAACTTTCACAAATACTATAATAAACTTAATTATGCTCCATAGCCATAATTTGCATTTTACGGGTTGTAGCTATAGTTTAAACTGTCTCGTTTGTATAATTCGCGGGTATATTTATATAATTCAGTTATTTTTGTATTAACTCGAAATAACGAATTATACAATTACAAACATCAGAAGTGTAACAGTTATACACATTATATTATACAAAATCTGAGTTATACAAAAGTTATATAAATTATATTATACAAATTTCGAATTATTCAAACGTGTGAATTATATAGAACTAAAAAGCTGAGCCGCATAATTATAGCTAAAAGTAGATCGCGAATTGTAATTAAGGCAAACTATCGCTATGCTATCTAATTAACAAGTATATATTTATTTATACGTGTAATTT